TATATATATCCTTCGGTTTAAGAAGTTGATTGTAGAGCAGGAAAGAAGACTCCATGGAAGGGTTTTGAATAATAAAATTGCGTGCCAGATGCTGTTTACGGTTTGTTACAGTGAGCTGAGGCAGTCTTGTTGACTGGTGTACTCGGGATTTGGGGTGCCTCCCTGTCTTAAAAATATATGTGCTATGAGATCGGAAAGCTTGTGTGTCTTCATCTCTGTGTTCTTTGACCCAGTTGAGTCTCTGGACAGATTCAGCACCCTATGAATAACTGTAGAAAGAATAAAGAGGTACAAAAAGAGAGCTGGAGGAAAGCACCCTAGAAGGAAAGAACAGACAGATATAGACTCTTTTTTTTCTAAAGAGAAGTTTTACTTTTTCATACGTTCAACATATCTATGACTTGAAAAAAGTTCAGGAATGACTGGTTTCAACTACTAAAGTTGCCTCTCACTATCTCTTCTGTTCTTTGCTCACAGTCACCCTGTTTCTGATTATATAGTAAAACTATTATCACAGTTTGCCAGAAATCTATAGTGAGGCCCAGTCATTGTGAGATGTATCATTATGCCTGTATAGCTTCAGGGAATTTCTTTCTGCCTGCTGAACTTAGAGTTTCCATATTTCAACTTCCCTTTGGTCCCTTCTTCTAGATATCATGCCACTGTTTTTTTTATATTTATCCATCCTGGGGTGAAAGGTGTATATGTATTATGTCTATGTGGAAGTCAGAGGATAACTTGCATGAGTCAATTCTTTTTTTCTTCCACCATACGAGTCCGAGTATGGAACGCAAGTCCTCAGGCTTTGTAACAAGCCTACTGAGCAATCTCACTGGCCCCCCCATTATTTTTTCTTTAAAGTTCATCAAGCAGAGCTGTATTTTTATTTGTGTGTGTGTGTGTGTGTGTATGTGTGTCTGTGTGTGTGTGTGTTATTGAAAGTCTGAAGTATAATTTCATGGCATTTTGTCTCCATTTTATGATGATAAAGCCTCCATGTATATGATTTTTAATTAACTTTTAAAACTCTTGCATACATCTATAGAGGTTATGTGGTGGCTAGCTTTCTCAGGTGACCCCAATGGTCCTCCCAATATTCACACCCTATTATGTCACCCTCCTTCTAAATCTGGATTGGGCCTGTGACTCATTTTTTGACCTTAAAAAAAAAGAGAGAGTATGGTGGAAATGATTCTGGGTGATTTCTAAGCTGAGGACATAAGAAACATTTCCATCTGAGTCTCTGAAATGTGTGCACATCTGTCAGAATTCAAACACTGTCAAGCAAAAAAGCCCAAACAGCTTTCAGAGGCCATACTGGATAGACAATCCCAACTGAGCCAATAGCCAACTTCAGCTGCTAGCCATGTGGGCAAGGCATCTGACCTTCAGATGCCTGAAGTTCCAACTGACAGCACCCTGAGAAACCCTAAGTTAGAGACCTTTCAGGCAAGCCCAGGCAACCCAGGGAACCGTGGGAACACTAATAAATTGTTGTTGTTAGCCATTGAGTTTAGTGTGGTTTGTTACACACCTGCAGGAAACTGGAATAAGTTGATTAAAGTACTGGGCTGAGGAGATGGCTCAGTCAGCAAAGTGCTTGCCACATGTCCTAGTTTCTTTCTGTTTCTGTGATAAAAACACTCACCAAAACCTAGTTGGAGAGGAAAGGGTTTATTTCACCTTACAGTTTACAATTCATCATCAAGGGAGTCAGGGCAGGAGCTCAGGGGAGGAACCCGGAGCACAGGCCATGGAGGAACACTGCTTACTGGCTTTCTCTCCTGTCCTGTGCTCAGCCTGATTTCTTTTGCAAAACCAGACCACCTGCCCAGAGGTGGCACCTCCCACAGAGGGCTGGGCCCTCCAGCATCACTCAACAATGCCTCACAGACATACCCACAAGGCCAGTTCTATAGAAAAAAATTCCCCAATTGAGGGTCCCTCTTCCCACGTGTGTCAAGTTAACAACTAAAGCTATCCAGCACACCACACAAACATGAAAATCTGAGTTCAGTCCTCAGAACTCACATGAAAAAGTCAGTCATGGTGACATACGCCTATAATCCTAGTCCTGGGGAGGCTGAGACAGGCAGATTCCCTGGAGCTTGCTGGCCAGACAGATTAGCCCAACAGGTCAGGTCCAGGACACTTTGAGACCCTATCTCAAAATAAGGTGGACAGCTCCTGAAAAATGACACCCAACATTAACCTCTGGCCTTCACACATGCGCACATATGTGCATGTGCATGCACACACAAAAGAATAAAGTCCTAAAGTTGTATTTAACTATATTTCATCTAAAGTGTGAATAACTAAATAATATAAAAATTTAAAGACA